CTTTCATAGCTATATTCAGAATCTGATCTTTCAATTTAGGATATATTAGTGATACCTGATGAAATTACCTTTCTTAATATGATAAAATTGAATAACAAAACTAGTTTTTTATTAATGACGAAATTATTTACTTAATTGCCGAAATTATATTTAACTTGATCTAAATTCCTTGAATTAAATATATTAAAAAATATAATAATTTTATATTTATTCATATAAAAATATTAAAAAGACAAAACTTTTGATGAAATTACAATTTTTCAAAAAAGAGTTTAATTAGGTATCACTAGGGTATATTGTATTAATATATTAAGAGCCTTCCTTAAAAATTTCTTTAGAAATATGTTGTATAACTGATAATAATATAGATTTTAAAGCTACTAGAAAAACATAATCTATAATCATAGTTATAGGTGCTGAGGATTCTGCTTTTTTATGAGACTTGAAATACTAACAAATGAGTACTGCTTCAAATATCGGCGCTTTTGTATAAATATTCTAAATAATCAAACTAAACTAATCTAAACTATTCCTATATGTCTTTACTTGAGTGATCTTCAAGGATTCTCAACTCATATTTATATAAAAATAAAATATATAATTGTTAACAATGTTAAATAAATAAACTAAATATAATTGATAAACTATATTAAATAAATAAAATAAATAAAATAAGTTAACTAGATAAACGAGGTAGATGACGTAAACAAGGTTAATATAGTTTCTAAAGATCTACATTAGGAAGATCGTCCTAATGATTTTCATGTAATAATACCTAAAAAAATATTAATAATAAAGGTCATCAGCTTAGTAATACATATTAGCAAAAGCTCAAAAAAAATATATATTCTACATTTAAATCTAAAAGTGAAATTAATAATCTTAGTGAAAAGTTACTAGCTAAGTATTCAGAGCAAAAGAAGGAATTTTAGCGATTTTATGCTAATATCAAAAATAAGGTTAGTCAGCTAAATGGTGTAAATATTAAGCTTACATCCCAAATTACTTCTGAATGGATGACCCGTACTGAGCTTGAAGCCAAATATTTTGCTGAAATGAAATTGCTCAAATCTTCTATTAAATATTGAAGGAGATGCAACTTTAGCGCAGAAAACTTTATCCTTTGATAAGGTCAAGATCCTTTCTCTTAAAGCTAAGGTAGTTGAATTGAAAGATAAGTTGTTAGATTTGAAACTAGAACGTGATTCGCATATAGTGAAAAGACTACTAGAGAAATTAGCCTAAATAAACTCATCTGATCCTAAAGAGAACGATTCTTTTAGGCTTGAATTGAAAAAAAGTAAAGAATGATTTATTCTCAAAGATTAAACGATAAAATGCATAGAAAAATGGATAGAGTCATCACATAATATTTTCAAATGGGAAATAGACATTTAGTCTTTAGAGAAATTACAATTAATGTAAGAAAATAAGTTCTTCAGAGACCAGTTAATGTTTAAAAAAGATAATGAAGTAGATTTTTCATTCCTATTTATAAACGATTTATCGCAACTTTCTGATTTTAATTTTCTTATATTTCAGACAATTTTTGTGGGTGGCGTAAAAGCAGTTCCTATTATACATATTATTACAAGTTCGTTAATATTGCTGATATTAATATATATCATACTTACCTTATTAGTTTATCTCAATTGCCTAACTTGATAGGTTTTCTTTTTCAAATTATAATGAGAAAAAAACTTAAAATTAAGGTCTATTACATCTAAAAAAAGCTTTATTGCTTTATTTATTTCTTCAAGATTGGGTTCAAAATTTTTTTGTGCAAGTAGCATGATAATAATACGTTATCCTATCAAAAGTATTCAGTCAAGCTCTTTTTGATTTACTCATGATTTAATATAATAATATGCATATTTTTTTTTAAATGAATGCTACGGTTCTAACAATTAAAATCAATATGTTTATATTGTATTATAATAATTACATTGGATTTGGCAATAAAATTAAACAAAACATTCAATTTTATTATTGTTGATCTTTATTTTTTTTGTTTACTGTGCCATTTCAGCTATTTCAATGTTCCAGTTCATACCGCAAAAGATGTTAAGAATTGGATTACATAAAAAAAGATTAATATTCTTCCAGATTGGCCCTCTCAATCTCCAGATCTTAATCCTATTGAACATTTGTGACATGAAGGCTTCGAAAATGAATTATACATCCAAAAAAGCTTCATGAACTTGAAGAAGCATTAAAAGAAGAATAGAAAAGAATCCTATTTGAAACTTATATAAATTTAATTGAAAGTATGCTACATCGAATTGAAGCATGCATTAAAAATAATGGATAACCAACTAAATACTAAGCATTATTTATAATTTAATATAATTTAATAAATTTAATAATAAAATATAATTTTTATTAGTTGATCAGATATTTTTGATAGGGTAGTATATGATAACAAAATATAAAACTACATAAAAAATCAAAAACTTTAGATAAAAAAGCCATATTTGCTTCCTTTGATCAAAGTTCTTTTGCAATGCCAAAGGTACAAGAAAGAGAAAATATTTCACTAAACAGTTAGCTTATCTTTCATAGTATTAAAACTATAAGGGAAGAATTTGCAATCAAATCATTAGGTCAATGATAGTATCCAAAAGTAATCAATATGATATTGCTTTTTTTTTTTTATTTATTCAAAAAAAGATTCACATAATTTTTGGTTAACAAATTTCTCTGAAATTTGTCAAGAAAAAAGAAAGGCTATTTCTTGCAGATTAATAAATCAAGAGAGAGTAAAATTTACTAGTTAAGTATTGGTCAGCGGTAGTATCCAAAAGTAATTAATATAGTAATAGCCTAAAGTAATCAGATATAGAGGCATCTTAAAGTAGCAACTATATGAGAAAGAGTTCTAGAAAAGCAGAGACATAAAATAAGATATAAATTTAGTAGTATCCAAAAATAGAATTATATAGAAAGTAAATAAAAATTATGCTTTTTGATACTACTGATAATAGGCAAGAAAAAGGACAGAAAAGCAGAAAGATTCAGAAGAATACAAGAAAAAGAGTATGAAAGCTGTAAAGCCTGAACTAATTCAGTACTTTATACCTTACCCAGCATTCAAAAAATGATAATTGAGAGAAATGTATGTATTGCAAGTTCAGCACATTGTGCCTTAACTCAGCAATCAAATAGATCAAATATGATATATCTCTGACAATTAAAAAAAAATATGAATTACAAGTTCAGTACTTTGTATCTTATCTGGTAATTCAAGAAATAGCAATCAAGAGAAAAATATATAGATTGCAAGTTTGGTATTTTATGTCTCATTTTACAATTAAGAAATGCAATTAAGAGAAAAATATATGTATTATAAGTTTAGCACTTTGTGTCTCAATCTAGCAATCAAATGGAAATATAAAGATAGAATAGCAAGTAAGTTTAGCATCCAAGCTAGTATAAAAGTAATCTAGAACTGGTAAATTAATAAAATCATTCTAGTTTCCTACTAGTATTTTGCCAGTTCTTCATCAGCTTTATGACACTGCCATGATGCTACCATGATGTTGAGATAAAACTTAAATTATGTGCTCTAAAAAATCAGTCAAAATTATGCAATAGTGTCTGCTGAAATTAATAGTGAATTTATTGCATTACCTGACATGAATTTTTTTTACCACAATTTGATATTTAAACAGGAAATCAAAAAAATGTAAAAAAAAACATTCTCGATATCTTAACAAGCCACTAAACAGGCTTAAAAACAGGTAAACAAATGGATAGCTCTTTAGAAATAAAAAGAATACAGTAATGTAAATACATGGATAGTTTCTTAATAAAAAAAAAGGTTATAGATAAGCAGAAAAATATATTCCATTAGATTATAACATTACCATTAGATTATATAATAACTACATCATTAGATCATAATACTGCTAGTTTATCATGACACTATAAGTAGAAATTAATTAAAATAGTAGGTAGAAACCTGTAAAGATAACTAAATCCTAGATTATGAAGCTACTTGTAGATTATGGAATCATATCAGATTATAACATCAGGTTATGATGCCACCACTGGATTATAACATTAGATTATGTCATCTCTATTAAATCATATCACTACTATTAGATTATACCACCACTATTAGATTATACTATTATTATTAGATTATGTCATCACTATTATAATCTAACCCAAATTACCAAAGGTTCTTTAATTTAATTATATTAAAGAACCTCTAGTGACTATACTATTTTTTATATTATAGGTAGAAAAATAATTTTTTGATGAATATATAGATAAGGTAAATAAAAAAAAATTATAAACAAAATTTTTGGATTATTATTATAATATTTAGATAATAATTAAAACATTAAGTATTATCACCAATTTTTCATAATTATATGATTATATTAAAAAAAAGTGATAATTTTAAGATTTTGCAATATTTTTATTTTTTGTAAAATAAAATAAAGCATCATATAGATAGGTTGTTAGAAAAATCAGGTTTTGAGAATTTTTTAATAAAATTTTAATTTTTATTGCATTTCAATTTTTGATGATGTTAAATTAAAATACACTAAAAGCTAAATTTTATTTAAAAATTCTCAGAACCTGATTTTTCTAGTAACCTTTCATATAATCTATTCTTTAATTTTTAATTAAAATATTATTATTTTTTTTTTTACAAAAATTTTGTAAATTAATTTCTTTCTTTATTTTTATTTTAATAACTATGTTATAAATAAATCAAAAATGGTTGATTTTAATATATTTGAAAAATTATAATAATTTTTTAATAATAAATATACTTTTTTAAAATTTTTTTTTGATAAACTTTGTAACAAGATAAGGAAAAATTATTACAAAAAAAAAATTACTTTATATTTTAAATATTATTTTTTAATAAAATATATTCAGATTTATTAATTACTATTACCAAATATAGGTTTCAAACCTTAATCAAAAAACCTATAAAAAGATGAATACAAATTTTTTCAATTTTACAGTAAATATAAAAAAAAATGGCGGCTTCTAATGAACGAACTTTGCAAAATTTTATCTTTGGAAAATATGTAGACCCTATTCAAGCTGCCTCATGCAAGTACGTTCCTGTCACTACTCCACATACTGGTAAAGTGATCGCGCAATGTCCACTCTCAACTGCTAAAGATATTGAAAAAGCCGTCGAATCTGCTAAGGAGGCCTTCAAAACATGGAGGTAATATTTATTTTAATGGTTTATATATAAAAACTTCTTTAATAATTTGTTGATTTATGTTTAATAGTGCTCGAACAGTCAAAGACCGTGTTCAATTTTTAATCCGCTTCCATAATTTATTATACACTCATATTGACGAATTAGCTGATTTAATTGTGTTAGAACATGGAAAAAACAAAGCCGAAGTATGTAACTTCAAGTTTTCGGTTTAAATTATTTTAATGAATTTTGATAACTGAAATTATTCATTTCAAAGGCAATGGCAAGCATCGCTAAAGGAGCTGAAACTGTAGAATATGCTATGTCACTTCCTCAATTGGTAACTCCAATATCATTAGAAATTTTTTTTTGCAAAATTTATGAGATCACTAATTATTTTCTCTTTTTTAGATTCAAGGTAAAATATTAGATGTTTCAAGAGGAGTAACTTGCAATGATACTCGTCTGCCTTTAGGTGTTGTTGCATCGATTGTACCCTTCAACTTTCCGATCATGGTATTAATTTTTATACGCAAAATTTATTTGAAAAAATTTTATAAATTATTGATCCACTTTGTTATTTTAGGTTCCTATGTGGTCTTTGCCAATTGCTATCGCTACGGGAAATACGTTGATTTTAAAACCTTCTGAAAAAGTTCCATTAACCATGAATCGTGTCGTTGCACTTTTAAAGGAGGCGGGAATACCAGATGGTGTTGTTAATATTGTTAATGGAACCGTTGATGGTAAAGAAAATTTCTTATATTATCATTTATAATTAATTAAATGCTGTTAATTTATTTACGAACCTTTTTCATTAGCTGTAAATGCAATTTGTGATCATCCCGATATCAAGGCAGTCACATTTGTGGGTACTTCACACGTGGCTAATCTTGTTACGGAGAGATGTCAAAGGTTAGGAAAAAGGGTTCTCGCATTAGGCGGGGCCAAGGTAAATTGACCAAAGATCAAGTAAAATTTAAGGAAAGATTTGAAAATGCTGACGGTGTACAATTTTTTACAGAATCACCTGATTGCTTCACCCGACTGTAATATTGAAACAACTTCAACCGATGTGGTAAACTCATTCTCTGGCTGTGCCGGTAATTATTATAAAAACATGATACTATTCATAACTTGAGACAAGTCTTCAAAATCTAAGCATTTTCCTTTAATAAAAGGTCAGCGGTGTATGGCAGCTTCAGTGCTCATAATTATTGGATCACAACCTGAACTGCTAGAACGTATTATCGCTAAATCTACAGCATTACAACCGGGGACCAAAGCGGGAGAAATTGGTCCAGTTATAGATAGAGCTTCGCTTGATAAAATTACTAGTTACATTGAAACATCTGAACAGGGAGGTGCAAAGATTCTTGTCGATGGTCGTTCATGGACCCAAAGTGGCGTCGAAGGCTTTTGGTTCGGGCCAACTGTAATATTGCATAGTAATAAAGAAGACAAGGCTTTACATGATGAAATCTTTGGTCCCGTTTTAAGCATTTATCAATGTTCTAATAAGGAAGAAGCCATTGAGATTGAAAATAATAATCCATATGGTAATGCTGCATGCATTTACACAACAACAGGTGCCACAGCAGAATGGTTTATTTCGCGATTTGGTGCCGCAATGTGTGGAGTTAATATTGGGGTGCCTGTACCTAGGTAAGTTTATTTAATAGGAATTTTAATTTATTCATTTATTAAGCTCATTTAATCAATTTTCTATTAATTGTATATGATAGGGAACCATTTTCTTTTGGGGGAATAAATCGATCCAAATTTGGAAATTTTGTAGATATTACTGGAGACGGGGGTGTTGAATTTTTCACTTGGAGACGTAAAGTTACCACTCGATGGGGTCAAGAAAATCTTGATCCAAAATTAAGAATGTAATTTATTATCTTTAGAATAACATTAGATTATAATGTAATAATATCAATTTGGTTAATTATAACCACTATATGGTCTAATAAATGCGTCGTCATATAACAATTTTCTCGCATGCATTGAATATTGACAATATGTGAAAAGTTTAATATAAATCCGATAAATAAGTTCGATAAAAGCTTTGGAAACTCTTTATTTCTTGTCGCAAAAATTATTTGAATGAATTTTAAAAAATTTAAATATTTTATTGAAAAAAAAAAAAATGTGTATATACAAACTGAGACTCGCATGAAAAACGATTGTCAACATAAGGATCCAAAAAAGCATGTCATTTGTTGAGTGACGGAAACTTCTCTCTCGCCCTGAGATGGTGATGGCATATATAAGCCATTGAATTTTCAAAGGTAATCAAATTCGCTGTCTAACATATTTTATTTATATTAATCAACAATTATTTTCTTTTTTTTTAAATTTAAATGTGGTATTTCCATATTTGGATATTCAGGGCCTAACCCTGTTGATGTGGTAACCAACGATTTACTTACTATATATTTGTATACGATCCATCTTTCTCTGTTTTTCTCGAACTATTTTTAACAAAAACTATAGTTACTCGGATTATCATACTAAAGCATTTATTCACTTTACATGAATTATTTGTAAAATATTATCTTACTAAGTTTTACCTTAATTTTTGAGAAATTTTGAACTTACAAGTAAGTCATACATTCATAAATTTGTTTCATATTCGACCGAATGAGTAAATATGTGCGCGAACTTCTAGGTTTTTTTGTTTAAATTTAACAGAGAATTATCTTTCCGACACACTTTTTTTCCTATAGTTACTTTTTTTTCACGTAAACATTCTGCTAAAAATATCCTGTAACCTTCTTAAGGCTATTTCATATTACCTTTATACTTCGTCACAAAACCATATCTAATGTCTACAACTTCCGTTGATACCAACACAACCACGGAAAATGAAATTAAAGTCCGTTCTATGAAAGAAATATGTTATATCGTCGCTTTCTGTGATAAATTTAAGTCTAATTTGAAAGGAATTGAATTCTGGCCAGAGGTAAATCTCCTTCAACTTGAGAGACGTATTTATATTTAGGAATGATAATAATCTATTTTGTAATTCACTTGTTCAGGAGTTAGAACGAGCTATAGCAACCGAATATGAGAATGACCTGATCGAGAATTTACATTGTACTTTCCTTAATAATTGTCTTAATCGCAAGAAACCAATCGAGTAAGCATATATTCATCATTTTTATTTTTTTTTTTTTTTAAAAAAAAAATTATAGATATATTATTAAAATGTATTTTATAAAAAAACCTTTTTTTTTTAATATATTCGTAAAGAAGAACACAATGGCAAAAATTCCTTTCGGAAGCGATCGACCAAAAAATTAAAAAAGGATATCATTTCTATCAAGATTTCAACCCGCTTCGCAGAGTCAAAAACTATTATGAACTTAACGTTGAAGATAAAGTGCTTATATTTCATTTTCCTGAACTTCACATTTGTGTAAATCGAAAAAAGTTCTAAACCAAAAAAAAAACTTATTTCAGGTGTTGATTTTGAATAAACTTATCACATGGCAACTTCAGGATAGTCTTATAATCCGTAAGATGATTGATTCTGAATACAGAAATGGAAAAAAAAACGAAGAGAATTCTCTAGAAGTGAAACCATATGGTGTCGATCGAAGAGGAAGGAGATATTATTATTTTGGTAGTAAGTAAAATTTTATTAATCCAAAATCAAAAGTTATAAAAATTAATCGATTTTCGTTATGTAGGTGGCGCAAGAATTTATCGAGAGACAATTAATAAGGGTAAAGGTAAAAATAAGCAAACAAAAATAATCTGGGAGGCAATAACGACAACCGTTGAAGACGTAGAAAATTACATTAATAATCCAAAAGAGATCAAGCCATCTGCAAAACTCGACAAGGTCCTTTACAAAAAGCTGGTCGACGAATTGTTACCTGAAATCAAAAAAGAAATTCAGGTAAGCATCAACAATTCAAGGATGAATGAATTTTTTGAACTTTGCTAACAAAATATACTAAATTATTTATTATTATTATTATTAATTTTTATTGTCATAGCTTAAAGAAAAGCGTGATGCGCGGAAAGTACGTCAAGAAAAGTTAGCACAACGAGTTGCACTATTACATGCAAATTCAGAGATAGTTGCCAGTCGCACAAGAAGTGGAACACGTCGGGCTGCTCGAGTGAATTATGCCGAATCTTCGGCATCTTCTGGAACCAGCATATCAAGACAAGGTTCATTTGTCCTCCAAGACGATGCAACGCCAACTACAAACAACAGTCATTACGCAACACGGTCACGGACCGCTCGAGGGACTGAAAAAAGAAAATACGAAGAAGTCACACAGGATCATGATTCTGATACGAGATCGTCCAGCTCGACAAAGTCGAGCAAAAAGAGTAAAATCTCTGCAGATCTTAGCTCTGTCTCAAATGGGGCTCGAATGAGTCGGACAACTTCTGTTGTTTCTATTGGCTCAGCTGCAACGGCTAATTCCATCTTTTCTCGGGCAGATTATGAATCACCCGAATTCAGGGAAGTTTTCGGTTCTGAAGCCGGAACTGACTTATCGGATCCTGGCAGCGATGCCATGGATGAAGATCTTTAAGCATCTCCATAAAATTTATTCATGCTTTTTAACAATTTTTTTTAAAATTAACTTCTATTGATGCGATTTTAAAAAGAATTTAACATAGTGTAAATAAAAGTTCAGCTTTTCTATTGTATTACTGTTGCAGTATGTTAACTTTTGATTTTTTTTAAAAAAAAAAAAATATATAATATAATATATATAACTACGAAAAGATTTTATTCAGAAAATTAAATAAAATAGATAATTATTATATCATCTATGTTAGACCCAAATTCTTGGGAAAGAGTTATGTTATGTAATATAAGATATTCTGCTGATCATTATTGATTGTTCCTTTTTTAATTTTAAAATCTTGTGAAAATTACAAATTAAAAAAACATGAAATGGAAATAATACCAAGAAAAAAAGAGATCCGGTCTGCGCAAATTTAGATGGATTCTCTGTTATTTATTTTCTTACCGAAATCGAACAATACATTGTAGTATGAAAAAAAAAATAAAAGGGTCCATTTATAAATTCCTTTAATGAAAAGGAAAATTGCTGTCTTACGAATATCCTTTTATGTTAAATCCCATTTGATAGATAATCTACCCCTCATTGTAATAAAAAACGATGATTAATCCCATAATTTATTTCCCTCTTGGGAAACACGTTTGACTTATCTCATCTTATTTTAACATTTATGAATTTCTTTCCAATTTTGTACCCTCTGATGGATCGGTTTATGGTAACACTGTAATGTAAATGCCTGTATTGATCGTCATCATCCTGATCTTAGCTAATTAAAAAATATACTTATATAGAATACGATTTTCAAGTTGACTTTTGGAATTCATAAAAAAAAAAAAAAAAAAAAAAATTAGATATGGTTGAAAATAAGAAAACTTTTCAATATCAATCTCAACTTCAAAAATTACCCATACCCCCCTTAGAAGATACTCTCAAAAGATATCTTACTGCTGTCAAACCTCTTCAGGTAAAAAATTATTCAATACTCTTCAAATGAAAGGAATTATAAATAATTGTTGTTCTCTTATTTATTTAGAGAGAAAAAGACCATTTGCAGACCATTGCAGCAGTCAATCAATTTCTGGAAAATGAGGGTCCACATCTTCAAGAAAAGCTCAATAATTATGCTACTGACAAGTCTAGTTATATTGAAGAATTTTGGTATGACTCTTACCTTAACTATACCGATCCGGTTGTTTTAAACCTGAACCCATTTTTTGTCTTGGAGGATGATCCAACGCCTGCTAGAAATAATCAAGTATTTCGTGCGGCCTCTTTAGTTCTTTCTTCCTTAAAATTTATTCATGCTTTAAGAACCGAAACTCTAGAACCTGATGTTTTTAGGGGAACTCCCCTTTGTATGTCACAATTTAAACGAATGTTTGGAACAGCTCGTTTACCATTTGATAGTGGATGTATGATGAATACTGATCATGAATCCATTCATATTGTTGTTTTATGTCGTGGGCAATTTTATTGGTTTGATGTATTGAAAGAGAATAATGAAGTTGGAATTACTGAAAAAGAACTTGTGACCAATCTCAAAGCGATTAAACAGGATGCCTCAGATGTCCCAATTGTCGACGTGGCAAAACATGCGGTTGGTATTCTTTCAACCGAAAATCGTAGAATTTGGGCAGATCTTAGAGATATATTAGAGAAGTCATCAGAAAATAATAAGGATGCTTTAAGAATTCTGGATTCAGCTTTGTTTATAGTTTGTTTAGATGAAGTTTCACCCGCTTCTGGTGACGAACTTGCGACAAATATGCTCTGTGGTACATATGATATACAACAAGGTGTACAATGTGGCACTTGTGCCAATCGTTGGTACGATAAATTACAAATCATTGTCTGTGAGAATGGTTCAGCCGGTGTAAATTTTGAACATACTGGTAAAGATTATGATTAATTTATTCACATTTGATAAAATTTTTTATATTAAGAAAATATTGATCCTTTTTTTTTTCTTACATAAGGGGTTGATGGTCATACTGTTCTACGTTTTGTCTCAGATATTTATACTGATACAATTTTACGGTTTGCACAAACAATCAATAGTCATACAAAATCTCTATTTCATTCATCAACTCCTCATGGTCATAAACATAGCAATGGTTTATCAGTTATGGACACAACTCCAAAGAAACTTGAATGGACTCTTACGCCCGAAGTTCATATCGGCATTAGATTCGCCGAATCAAGATTAAGTGATCTTATATTGCAGAATGAAGTTAAAGTTCTCGAGTTTGATAAATATGGAAAAAGCTTTATCACAAACAGTCAAATGAGTCCAGACGGTTTTGTTCAGGTAAATATTTTTAAAAATTTAATAATAAATAAAATTCAATTATTTATTTATTTATTTTTTAGATGGCTTTCCAAGCTGCTTATTATGGCCTTTATGGATCAATTGAATGTGCTTATGAACCAGCAATGACAAAAGCATTCCTTCATGGACGAACTGAAGCAGTTCGTTCGGTTACAAAAGAATCCGTTGAATTTTTAAAGATTTGGTGGACTGAAGCATCTGGTTCGGAAAAGCTCAAGGCTTTACGTAAGGCTATTCAAGCTCATGTAAATTTGACAAAGATGTGTGCAAAAGGTCTTGGACAAGACAGACATTTATATGCTTTGCAATGTGTATGGCAAAGAGAGGTCGGCAATTCCGCCGATAGTGAAGAAAAATTACCAGCCATGTTTAAAGATATGGGTTGGCAAACTCTAAATCATACCGTACTAAGTACAAGTAATTGCGGTAACCCCGCTTTAAGGTTATTCGGTTTTGGTCCCGTTGTTGCGGATGGTTTTGGTATAGGTTATATCATCAAGGATGAGGGAATTGCGGTAAGATTACGATATAATTAATTGATAAATAAATAAATAAATATTTTAACATCTTTTTTTTTTACAGTTTTGCGCTGGTTCTAAACATAGACAAACGCGTCGTTTCCTCCAAACCCTTGAGAATTACCTTAATGATGTTCGACTTTTAATTTTATCAGAAAGACGAATCCCTGGTTTATCACGTATCTTATCTGATGATGAACACATTAGCATGGTTTCAGGATATGGCTATTTCGATGCTGGTGGTATTGATACATTACTTGAGCATCGTTTGGATGAGAAGAGAGAAGGAATGAAAAGAGTTGGCAAAGCATTAAAGCTTATAGATTATTAAAAAAAAAAGGGGGGGTCTACTATAATTCAATTTTGTATTTAAACTTAATTTATTAGCTTATTATTTTTATATTTGTTATAGACGCATTAAATTCGTAATAAACACGACAATTTTGTTTCTATATCACTTCATTATCTTTAAAATTAACATTGATTTTGTTGTTACATGTATATAACACGTAGCAGTAATTTATTATATAGCATATTAAATCAATAAAATTTTTTTAAAAAGCCCATAACGCTTGCTTTTTTTCTTTAAATTGATTCGATATTTAAAAGTTCTAAAAAACGAACTTTAGTTTGCTCTTTTTTATAAATACTATATATGGTAATAATTGGAAATTAAATCACGTGCTAAATTATGAAATATGATATCATTTGACGAATTGACGAAAGACATTATCCAATTACTAATTTTTTCTATTTCTAAAATTCTTTATTATTTTCATAATAGGTCACAACATCAAAAATAATTTCAAGTAGTCAAGGTTGTCAAGTTATAACGAAAAGAAAACTGTCAAGTCTGAAGAATATAACGGAAGACTTTTCATTTTTTAAAAAATAAAAGATATAACAAATAATAATAGAAATCAAAAAAAAGAACTTCAGTCAAAGTGATATATCTGCTGGTCGGTGAATTCATTCCCTGTACTGTCGTTCAAAAATATAGACGAAGGTATCCTCTCGTTTCGTATTATTGACAAAGCAAGTGTGAAAATATGGGTTCGCTTGCAATGTTAAATTTGCGTCGAAGTGCCTTCACTAATTATAGATTTCAATGTATCTGATTTTCTATATATCCTGTATTCCTTTTCTTTATATCTAATAAAGTTTTGCGTAATATCGCCTTTTGCCCTTTAATAAATTTTTTATCTGCTTTTCTTTGTAATTCTTCATATTGTGCCTTTGAACTTTGTGGCAAATTTACAAAAAAAAACGATTAGTGATTTATTTTTATCCGAACTAATCAAAATTTCTAAGCATGATTTTTTCCACATGGTGTGGTTATCATGTGAAATTACCTAACTCTTGATCACATGCACCATCATTGACAAATACGCAATTATACTTTCTGAGCATCATCAGCATAAGGTAGTGTTGTGAGAAGTTATGTTGTGGCAAATCTTGCTGCATTCAGTTGACCTTCACCTCTTCTATCGGCGCTGGCGAGTACAAATCTATAAAAAATATCAAAGGTATTTTACCATAGATACTACTTGCTGATTACATAAGTGACTTCGTTTAGTGATTCTGTCTGAATTCTGGATTGTTTCAAAGAATCGTTTCTAATATAATGAAATGTATATTGTCTCTGCAAGCTTTTCATTCGTCTTCCCTTTTCCGTTGCATGTAGAATGCCTATTCCATTCCCATTTGTTTTTATAAGCAATATACAGTAGGATAGTTTAATAATCACTCACCATCAAAGATCCCGTAATCTTTTTGGTAACATATTCATTCACCCACATCTGAATTATCACTAATAACTAAAAAATCTTTCCATGTTAATTTTGGAATTGAGACTTCAATATTCCAATAACTATTGTTTAAGAATCTACAAAGGTTATGGTATTCGTTCCAAACTATTTGTTCATAAAAACTTGTTGCATTCTTTTCTATATTTTGAAACCAAAAAATTTGTTGCTGAGATATACTTTTCACCATGGGTGACCATTACGTTTAAATAACAATATTTACTCAATTAGCATTTCTAAGTTGGCGATTTCAAAGAAACTGCAACTGCACCTCGAGAATAAATTGTCCGTGCCATTTTCCGCATTTAAATACGAAAATTGTCACAATCATATTGGGTTGCAAACTTTACGGAATGATGGATTCTAGTGAAATTTATGATATTAAAACATTGGCGACATATTTAACATGATCATTTAAATTTCATAAGCCTCGAATTGATCATTTATGAATGGAAACGACACATGAAAAGAAAAAAATAATAAATTTGCTGCCTTTTCTTTTATGCAAAAAAGTAAAAGTTACGTCCGCTCAAAACTTGAGTCGATACGTGATTGGTTACTTTCGTTACTCTTAACAACGAATCCCTTACATTACAGGTGTAATTTATCCATCTTACGATTTATATTGAAATATTTTGTAAAAAAAAAAAATTTGCGATTTTACCCTGTGAAGATATGAGTCGAGAGATATGCGAAATTCGTTTTCAGTTGCTTTTAATATAACTTTCTTTTTTTTAACCGTGTCGAGCCATAGTTAACTAGGGAAAACCTTTTGACTCTATTTGTTTAGCATCGGATTTAGCTAATGATGTGTCATTTTGTAAACGTGTAGTGAAAGTAGCGTTAGAAAATAACTGACACTAATTAAATGTTAATTCACAGAATTCTGATAATAAGCTTTTATGTAGTTTCTTGCATATAATGAAATAAATGAACTGACATTATGTTGGTCATCTGGAAACGCCAGTTCGGAAGAGTATATAATTATTCGCACTGTAGATGGAAAATTATATAGAAGAATCGTTGGTTTAAAGGCGTTAAATATGAAATATCTGCTATAATATTTTAGAAAGACAAATTATTTCTTTTTATTAAACAATAATTATTCTTTAATATATATTTTTTATTTAATCATATTTTACAATTATAATAAAATTCTCATTATCTTAACAGACTTTTTATTTTTTATGAATTAGAAGATTTAAGATATGGGGTGTGAGCTAGGAAAATGACCTTCTGAGATTAATTTACCTTTTTTTTTTTTTTAAGTGCGGTAGCTTCGCATAATCTTTATTTAAAGTAAGTAAATCATAAATAAATTACAAGACAAGAAAAGAGAATACAAAAACTTCTAAATATCCTAAACTAGTTAAAATAAATCAAAGTCAACCCTGCAC